TTGTAGAACCACAAAGAAAAATTTATATTAAAAACTTACATAATTTATTTGACATTTGAACATATTTTAATCTAATCGGCTTATATAATTTGTGTAAGTAAATGAATATTTTAGAGACTTTTTTAATATAATATTTTGTGGTAAAATTGTACAAATTATGGCACATATTAACAAAACATTGTTTAATAGTAATTTTTACAATTCGTTTAAAAATTTTAATAATTTTTTTGTTGGGTGCTAAAAAGGAAAATGAAACAAAATTATTAATTTAAGAGAAATGTATAGTAAATTTTAGATAGTAAAAAATATATAGTAAAATTAACTTTAACAAATTTTTACGGTAACAATATTATATATTCGTCAATACAATATTAAGATTGTAATACAAAATATTATTTTTATTATACAATTTTGGTAAAGATTAACACCAAAATTACTAAATCATAAATGTATAATATATATTTTAATTTTTAATATGTTCGTATAGTAAATTGATTTTACTATCTACAAATAGTAATATTTACTATATGATTTAATCAAATGTAAGGTGTACATATAATATTATAATATATTACATATTAATAAAAAATATAGTAAAAATAAAGATACTTTTATGTTTAAGTTAAATAAACAATATATTTAAATATAATATACAATATAGTAACTCATGACATTTTAAACGTTCAATTTTCTTAGTTTCTTCAATAAACTTTCATGACCCATTACTGCTAGTACTTATAAGAAAGAATTGAACCTACTTGGTTGCATAGTATGTACCGATTGCGGTAAAGGCCACGTCGCGACGCGTCGTTAGACGGTGCACTGAAAGAAATTTATGTTTCATATATGGACTACCACATACATTGCTAAAACAAACATATAATATATTTACCTTAACCATTTTTATATTTAGTTTTAACATATTATGTTAAAACTAAATATAATATATGTTTGTTTTAGCAATGTATGTGGTAGTCCATATATGAACCACAAACATTGCTAAAACAAACATATATTTCTTTCAGTGTGTGGATCACGTGATGTTCTTACATCTCGCCTCTGTTGGCTCAGGTATTTCTTTGTTTTGGGTGTGTTTCACTACTACAAGTTGCTCGACAGTGTCGTGTCTACACTGATAATACCCAATATAGGTCAAAACACCTGTCTGTCGGTATCTTTCTCATAACATTTTTGCATATTAAAAAGTACAATAAATATGTTACAATTTTTAATTGTTAACATTTAAAAATATTCGATTTTAAAATATACTTATTATTAATGAAATGGATAGTTTCTGGCAATATACAAGATAGTTGTCCCAAATAGTAATATAAATTATAGTAAAGGGTATTATAATTATGGTAATCAGCATTATACTTTTCTCTCTGTGTACCTATTAGTACAGTCATCTTAGTCAAAAAAAGGGATCAACCTCGGAATCTAACGGAATAAGCTGAATTTTTGTGAAAACCTTTATTTTAGCATTACAAATGTTGTCTCAAAAGTCACATATGCCAACGTGTGAGCGGCCTTAGATATTCAAGGTCAAAGGTCGCAAAAATCAGTTTTTTAAGAATATCTCGTTTTCTCTGCCTCCTATCGTATTTGCATTTATTATAAAAGTTGTAGAAAATAAAATTCTCTACAAATTTTGTTTACAAAAATTTTTTATACATCGAACCGTTTTTGAGATAGAGGGCGCAGAGTGTGGAGCGCTCAGCCATACGTACCTTTAGCGCAAGGTAAATCGTGAATCCCAATCTATTATACCGTTTTTTTTAATTAATTATATAATAAATATTACTAAAATAAAAATTTAATACCTTATACTTATATTTATATTTCTTTTAAATCAAATATATTTTATCTTTATATATATCTTATATTTTAATTTAATTTTAATGAAGGATAATTGAATCGGAGTAGGAAAAAATGTTTTTATTTATATCAATATTATTATTATTATTATTATTATTATTATTATTATTATTATTATTATTATTATTATTATTATTATTATATCTTTATCTTCTTCATCCTCGTCTTCTTCAGGTTGGCCAGCAATTTCAGACTCATTCTCATCATCACTTTCCTCGTTATCATTGACATTAATTGTCATATCTTCAAAAACTTACTTATAACGCGTTTATACTTTGCAGATTTTTTTGCCTTTGTTGCCTCATCTGCGACTTCACCACAAAATAAGCACAATATTTTAAAATCAAACACATCATTCCCTTTTTTACGAGGTACAGTTGATGACGTTGAAGGTCCAGTCTCTTCAAGGCGACGCGGAGAGTGATGATGCAGCAGCAAAACGTCGCGACGTTTTGCTGCTGCAATTTTACTATAGTACGCCATAGCGTACAATTTTCGACACTCAATATGAACGTTCACAGAATTCAAAGTATTTAGGTAGTTTATGTTTATTTCTCTCAATAATTGCTTCTTTTAAAGTCTTTATACCGTGCACAAAAGTCACAGAATCACCTTCAGAAAGTAACTTATTACAAATAAAACACAAATCAGCCATGTTAACCTTTAAAATATTACGAATATTACCTGTCACAGCCCTAGACCTATACCTAGGGTCACAACTTGCTTTAAAATTTAATATAGGTATACCTAACCTTTTTCTTTATAGCAAGCCCACTATACAGGGTGTCCGGGAAAAGGAGGTAAATCCTTTAACCATATATTCCTTGAGTTAAAACAATAAGACTTTCATAATACCATTTTTCAATTTAGAGCTTCATGTTCGATATACAGGGCGACAAAGTTTGAAATTTAAAACTGATTTTTTTTAATAATTCGAGTAATTGATAAGATACTAAGTTTAAATTCGGTACACTAGTTCAACATAAATAGTTACATTTTTTGAGACCAACAAAACAAAAAACAATTGTCAAATAATCAAAATAAGGGGGTCCAGTACTCACTGACTCCCCCTATTTTTTAGTACGTGCGCCAATGACTTCCAAACGGAATTTTTTCAGGTAATCATTTATTGTTGAAAATGTTTTGTCTCTTATAAAATTTTGATAAAATGATTTGTTTTAGGGATAATTTGTAAAGTATGGGTCAGTCCATATCAAATCAACCAAAGGTTCTTCCCCCACCATCTCCGATTTTGATCATTTTTGGTAAATTTGTTTACCTCGCTAAAAAACTTAAAAATCCCATATATGAACTTTTTTCGATAGGTGGTTTTTGTTTTATTGATTTTTGAAATCAAAAAATTCCGATAAATTTGGGTCTTGCAAGTACTTACAAAAATAGCGATATCTCGTAAACTATTAAAAGTAGAAAGGTGAGTGATGGCTTATTTTAAAGGCCTATTAGAGAACTTTTTTATGATATATCACATGACCTACATTTTTTCAAAAAAAAAAATTAAATTTTAAAAATTTGATATGGACTGACCCATACTTTACAAATTATCTCTAAAACAAATCATTTTATCAAAATTTTATAAGAGACAAAACATTTTCAACAATAAATGATTACCTGAAAAAATTCCGTTTGGAAGTCATTGGCGCACGTACTAAAAAATAGGGGGAGTCAGTGAGTACTGGACTCCCCTATTTTGATTATTTGACAATTGTTTTTTTTGTTTTGTTGGTCTCAAAAAATGTAACTATTTATGTAGAAGTAGTGTACCGAATTTAAACTTAGTATCTTATCAATTACTCGAATTATTAAAAAAAATCAGTTTTTAATTTCAAACTTTGTCGCCCTGTATATCGAACATGAAGCTCTAAATTGAAAAATGGTATTATGAAAGTCTTATTGTTTTAACTCAAGGAATATATGGTTAACGGATTGACCTCCTTTTCCCGGACACCCTGTAGTGGGCTTGCTATAAATAGTATTTCCAGGTCTGTTATTTTAAAAGCAATATCTGGATCCAAGAGATGACCAGAGACATATTTAAGGCAAATTCATTTAATGTCTTCTTCTTAAAATGCATTTATCATTAATTAGAATAACATTAGAATATATTTAGAATGATTCACTTCATTATTTAATTATTTGTATCTCAAAAGTAAGTAATATTTAATGACTATTTGTTTTAAAAAAATATCTAAAAATAAATATAAGGTATTAAATTGTTATTTAAGTAATATTTAATAAATAATTAATTAAAAAAACGGTATAATAGATTGGGATTCATGATTTACCTTGCGCTAACGGTACGTATGGCTGAGCGCTCCACACTCTGCGCCCTCTATCTCAAAAACGATTAGACGTATAAAAAAATATTTTAAACAAAATTTGTAGAGAATTTTATTCTCTACAACTTGTATAATAAATGCAAATACGATAGGAGGCAGAGAAAAGGAGATATTCTCAAAAAATTGATTTTTGCGACCTTTGACCTTGAATATCTAAGGTCGCTCACACGTTGGCATATGTGACTTTTGAGACAACATTTGCAATGCTAAAATATAGGTTTGTACAAAAATTCAGCTTATTCCGTTAGATTCCGAGGTGAAATGCCTATATGAAATAGAATACCTAAACTTAATATAAACTGACACTGACAACATAAAATAAACATAACAAAACATAAACTACAAACTGAATTCATATAATACAAATGTCGATAGTTTAAATATGTATTCAGCGACCAACACAAAAATTTTGTAAGGATAGAATTAAGTTAATATAAACTGAAAACATAAATTACAAACTAAAGTAAAATGGTAAGCTGATCAATAATGTAGCGCAGTAGGAACATAGAAGCACTTTTTATCCTCATTTGATCACCAGGTCATAATTATTTATTTATCTCAGTCCCTGAACTATTTTGCAAATACCAACCTAGCTATTCGGAAAAATAATATTCAATAATTACCAGAAATGTGGTACTAACCTCACAATGATACACTTCCTAACACTAAATAAACCTGCAATTTGATGATGACCAGGAAACAAAATTAGTTTTAATTTCAATGTTTTATTATGTAAATCTTATATACAGTAATTACAGGACATCTCTAAAATATGGTTTCGTTTAAAAATACTATCAAATGGTTATATGGCACATAATACTGAATATCGCCCAAAGAAGGCAAATGTTTTCGGAAATCATGGTTGACCTTCCAAAGCATGAGCTCCACACAAGCTAGCGCGTCTTCGAAACTGTCATGACCCATCTCTCCCCTACCATATTGAATCTGTTTGTTTAAGTACAAAGAAACTAAGGCTTTGAGGGAGAGCTTCCTTGGTGGTCCTACTTCGGGCGGAAAACAATCCGACGTATCGATGATGTAGGAGTGTAGTAACTTGAGGGCTCTGAGGTCGTTCTCCAAACCGTGGCCGATGAGGATGGTGTTCTTGTGGATGATCTCCAAGAGTTCTCGTTGGACGTCCTGTAGCCTCTTGGCGCCTTTTAACTTTTCTGGGGTTATACCCGACCACCGGGTGTTGTAGTCTACAATTTTGTTTGCGGGAAGGATGTAGCTATCGTACACCAAGTGCCCGCGCATGTTCACCAACGTCACCTTGGTAGCTTCCAATCCGGCCACGGTGTAGCACATTTCGCAGTCCATAGCGTAGACTCCGTAGCTCATATCCTGGCGATTTGTTCTGACGTAGTCAAAGTAGGGACCGTTTCTACCGGGTTCAGTTCCGCTCCACACGTGGACACTTGCCTCGGTACACCCAGCACTACCAGCCAACTTGTAGCAGCACCCATACAACCGAGATTTTCTCTCCAACTTGCCCCAATGGTACGTGCACTTATCTTTGGTGATGTACCCTTCCTGGTTGGTCAAGAAAGGCTTACTACAGCGCGAACAAGTCCTGTTATTGGTGAGGTAGACCTCCAAAGGTTTAAACTCTCTAGCGTCAACATTCAAATTGTTCCGGGTTCTATTTTGATGTTTGTTGGTTTCTTTGTTAATGATGACGAAACCTTCACTTGGGCTTTGAACTGGATACCCCAAATAGTACATATCCTCTTCACTCAACAAATACTTCAATAATCTATTGTAGAACTGGGAAGGTGATATAATGCGTTCCATCTTCAAAATCACTATGATAACTTTAGCAGCATAATACTGTATTTATTGCATCCACAACTACCTCAACTATCCATAGGTACAATTATCAAATCATTTATTTTTTATACCTATATTTACAAATAACTAATCATTCATTCAGAGAGATTAACTTAATGTGTTTGTTATTTTTTGATACCTAACTTAACTTAACAAAAACAAATTCTTAAAACCTTTTCCTACCTTGCGAAACGCGTAACTTGTTCTAGTTTTTAAACGAAAACAATGCTCTACTCCATTTTACGGCAAAAATAAAATAAGAAAAACAAAAGCACAAGTCTCTAAAGCTGCAACGTAGAAACAATACAAATGCGAGTTTGTCACATTTTATGTAATAATAAATGAAGTATTTTTTGGTGAAAATCGAACAAAAGAAAAGGTATTCTGTCGTGGGGTAGATATGTAAATGAAAAGTATTAGAGTTATTTTAGTTTCATCTAAATAATTTTTTTTTTACAAAACATGCACAAGACATATTTTTGTAAAAAAAAAAATTGCAAACCACCATTGTATTTTAATATTGATACCGACGTTTTTAATTGTCTTTCAAGCAAAAACACAAAATAAAGTTTAATGTCTATTGTAAGACTATATTCAGAAATTTTTTTAATAAATATAACAAAAAAGTAGTTTATCTACAAACGCTGCTTTCAGTAATAGCATTTGCATTAATTATAAAGTAAATTTACGTTATATTTGTAAAAATAACACTCTTCCAGATGCAGAAACGCATTGATAAATATAGTTATTATTATTTGTCCAAAAAACAGTTATATACCGTTTACAAAAACGTTTTGTAGTATTAATGAAACCCTAATGGTATTATTCATTGAATTTTTGTAAATTTTACAAATCCCCTTTCGTTTAAAATAAAACTTTTTGTTATAATATTAATAAAATGTATGTAAATTTAACAACAAATTAATTGTTAATTCAATAAACTATTTTCATTGTAACAATGGTCACATTTTCAACCTACTGTTGGGTGTTGGGTAGTTTTTTTAAATAATTGCAATTAAAACAAATTATTAATTATAACAAAAAAATTAACTCATATTATAATATAATAAACAAAATAAAAAAAATACGAACTCACTTTTTAAACAACAAGTCTGCTTCGTTTATAGAACATTTCTTTTAGAAAACGTCGAAATTTTAATTTTCTTAGTGATCTTTTTGATATTTTTATATTAAAACAGTCTTTTTATGGCAATAAAATATTTTTGTTATTGTTCTTAACAACTACTATTATTAAGCTATTAACAAAGAACTGAAATAAAATTAATTTGAATTACAACGATAGTAATTTAAAAAAGACAAATATGCCATAGTAAAATGAACAAATTTTACTATAACAACTGCGCATTACTTTATGAAGCGCAATTCACACACAACTATAGATTTAACAAAAACATTTTAAGTTCAACACAAAGATTTAATATAAACATAAAGTATTTCTTATTGCCATGACAATATGATAACAACTATTACTTTGTTGGATAAACATTTTTTTTTATAAAAGCTCAAATTGCTGCTTCATTATAGTAAATGATAATTTTATTAACAGTAAAAAAAGTTTATTCTGTAAATAAAAATAATCTCATTACTTGTAGTAGGTTTTTGTCTCAATAAGACACTGAAAATCTAATAAAACAGGTACCTTAGGTGGTACATTTTTTATAGCCATTACAATTTTAAGTTAGTTTCATTATCATGTACATGTACATTTTTCCAAATGTAAAAACTCTAATGTAAACAACTAAACACATATATTGGCAAAGAAAATGGATGACGGACATTTATAAGAAAATGGAAAAGCTTCAACATTTAGCAAAGTTTGAAATAAAGTGTGACCTACATTGTAGAACAAATAGGTAACCCATATTTGTTCCTTCCCACATATAGCTTTATTGAAAACTGACGAATAAAACATTATTGTGTGAGAAATTTATTGAGCAGTTTGTCTGAATTTAAATAAATCATTTGGAAAAATTATTATTATTATTATTATTATTAATTATATTTACTTAATTTGAATGTTTGGCCATGAATTAATTGAACATAGTGTTGCATATTGCTTGTCCAGTAGATACATAATTACCAATACAATCAAATATTGTCCCTTGTTCTAACATGACAAATTATTCAAGTATTTGGGACAATTTATTTCTATTTATAAAAACTCATAATTCTACCGCACGGAGAGAAAAGTATAATGCTGATTACCATAATTATAATACCCTTTACTATAATTTATATTACTATTTGGGACAACTATCTTGTATATTCCCAGATACTATGCATATTTAGTAATTTTTAAATATCCATGTATGTTAAACCGTAAGGTAAAATATTATTATTCTCAACCAATTTTGTTTTTAATTCTTATTATACTTAGATTTTTTCCATTACTAAAAAGTATAGTAAATTTTAAAATATGTTGCCATTTTAAATATAAAATATTTTAAAATCGAATATTTTTATATGTTAACAATTAAAAATTGTAACATATTTATTGAACTTTTTACTATACAAAAATGTTATGAGAAAAAATTGAACCTACACCTCGCCAAAGCTTTTGTTTTAAGTGCGTTCCATCAACTTCAAATACCGACAGACAGGTGTTTTGGCCCTATTGGGTATCATTAATGTCGACACGACACTGTCGAGCAAATTGTAGTAGTGGAACACACCCAAAACAAAGAAATACCTGAGCTTATATAACATGGTTGGTAAGCCAACAGAGGCGAGATGTAAGAACATCACGTGATCCACACCGTCTAACGACGCGTCGCGACGTGGCCTATGCCGCAATCGGTACATACTATGCAACCAAGTAGGTTCAATTCTTTCTTATAAGTATTACCAGTAATGGGTCAAGAAAGTTTATTGAAGAAACTAAGAAAATTGAATGTTTAAAATGTCATGAGTTACTATATTGTATATTATATTTAAATATTACTATTTGTAGATAGTAAAATCAATTATCTATACGAACATATTAAAAATTAAAATATATATTATACATTTATGATTTAGTAATATTGGTGTTGCAATCTTTACTAAAATTGTATAATAAAAAATAGTATTTTGTATTGCAATCTTAATATTGTATTGACGAATATATAATATTGTTACCCTAAAAATTTGTTAAAGTAAATTTTACTATATTTTTTTTACTGTCTAAAATTTACTATACATTTCTCTCCGTGTAGGTAAAAAACTAAATACAAAAGACCGACATCATTTGATGTAAGTAGACATGAAGGGGTAGTATTTTCACAGAGGCAATACAAGTAAAGTTAAATTGTCAGCGATGCCAGTTTTATTTTCCCAGTAGTGTTATCGTTTATGGGAAGGTACGAAGCCCGGTCAAAGATCTGTATCGCGTGGCAAAGGAGATAGAGACGCTTTTAGACGTGGTGCGGGTTTAAAATTTATCGGGTTTGCAATGATATTTTACGGGAATTTTGCCCCAGATACTTTCCTGCATGGCGTTCTTACGAGTTAACTTAAGGAAAAATATAAAATATATACTCGAACAGGAAAAGTTTAAAAAATGTTTAAGAACTTTTGTTCAAGAATATATTAGGTTTTCATGTCTAGTATTTTTTCTCGTTCGAAAAAATAGATCTTACTAATGACAATTAATCCATGAAAAAATTTTGTTTACATTTTAACGCTGCTGATAATTTAATTTAAAATTTAACAATTTTTAAAGGGTAAATAATTTAAGAAGCAACTTTGTTTTATAAATTTGTGTATAACACGTTAAAGTATTGATATTTGACAATTATTTGATATATTAACATTTTTATGCAAATGCTGTTTATGTGGCCAGGACATAAGCTGGCCATACACAGACGTTATTGCGCGCGGTTTATCGTGTTATCTGCAAAAATATATGTTAAATCATGTACGTGAGTGAGTATCGCCGCGCGCAATGATAGAACGGGAAGGGATTTCAGACGTGCTTTCCTCTGGAGTGTGGAGTGTCCACACGCCACATTCCGCGTCACGGTTTACCTTTGCTTGGCAAAATTTTACGTTGAAAATTTGTACATGATCACATGCAGTTTCAAACGACTCGATAAATGACACTTTTTGCCCACTCACATACGATTTTTCCTTTGAAACTAATATACCACGGGCAATCACTTGCTAAATCATTTGAATACTTTATCAAGTGTATGGAACATGACGCTTTTTTTGCCATGCCGTTCTTTCGTGCATACTAACCGCTACATCCCAACACGCCACGATAAACCGCGCAAAATAACGCCTGTGTATGGCCAGCTATTGAGATGGGCCAGGATAAGTTTTGAATTAGCAGTAGCAGTATTAGCAGTAGCAGTATTCATAAATGTTTAGTTTAGTGCATTTTTTAATTTTTATACAAATATTGTTGTATCTTTTATTAATAATTAAGTATAGCATAACACATAAATGACGTTTAATATACAGGGTGTTTCACGTATGTACTTAGTCAGTTAGAAGTTTCCAGGAAATCGCGAAAGACATCGATTTAAAATTTTAATAGCGTAAATTATTCGATTTAGACTTTTTTCCTAAATTATTTTGAACAAAATAATACTTCCTGTTTTACCGGAAATATCTTTAACTTTGTTATTATAAACAAGACACCTCATATATTTTTACATTTTTTAATTCTACATAAAATTCTGCTATACCTAAAGTCAATATTTTTTGAGTTATTAATTTTTCAATCAAATATTTTAATTAATTTTAAACAATGACAGATTAAGAGGTAACCATGGATTCTGTCACATTAACCCAAATGTAGAATTTCACAGATTTGTTGAATTGTTAAATGTCTCTGAAATTTTAACTTTTATTTGATTATGTTAAAACATACAGGGTTTTACATTTTTAATAAAAACACTATTATTGTTTAAAGTTTGCCTAATTTCAAGTTGTTTTTCCCAAGCTATTTGTAAAAAACC